GCTTGAGACTAGATGAATGCTAGAAACATTCATATCAAAGAGAAAATTTGGGGCTACACAGAAACAATGGGCATTCAAGGCTGGAGGGAATGTCAGAGCCCAGCCTTACTACATGAGAACATCCAAGCAAGGTAAAGGGACACTTGGTTCTTTCCTGGCGTTCTGATGGCTACATAGCTAAGATAAAGCATCACCACGTAGATGAAGACTTCGGCGGAGATCAGTGAAACCAGAGACACCACTTCACCTAACATATAGGCAAAGCTACCAGTGTGTGTGGACAGGCCAAGATAGGCCAGGGCCACTGTCCAAAAAGAATAATTAGACCACAGTAGCTTGGAAGACACAGTTGACCCAATCTATCTCTGACACACTCTTCCTGTGGATGTCCACCCAAGGTGGGTGACAGGTTCTCACCCCTGATTTTGGTCCCATGGCCTGACTTTGCATCCAGGGTGACAGATACATGAAGTGGGCCTAGAAAAGGATCAAGGCTCCCTGGCCCAAATGATGTCTGTGTTTCACAATCCATCCTTTTCTCTGGGTTGAACCAATATGTGTCACTAAGGTCGACCTTCGGTGAAGACCTTCTTCAGTCTAGACAGTGTGTGGGGACCAAAACTACAAAGGCTACCTGGGAGGTCAGTAGGAATTTGATCTTCTGCAACATGGGAGTAAGCACCAGCTACATCCGTAGCATGGCTGACTTTCTCTTCATCAAATGGCAAGTTGCCTTCACTGTCTAGCTGGTTGCAGTCAGGTCCTTCTTGGAGAACTGAGGGATTCAAAACACATTCATCCTGGGACTCTTGGAGCACATCCTCCTTCTCAAACGCCTCGAGCTCCATGCTGTGCCAGGTGGAAAGGGGATGACAGAAAATTAACCTAAGAGGATCAGACACCAAGCTGTCCTAGCTGGTTTTGATAGGGGAGGCGTTGGGATTGGACACAGAAAGCCAAAGGGCAATCCCCTTAAAGAGGTAAATAACTATCCTCCTATGTGTCAAGCACTGTGTGGCCACCACGGGGTGGGAGATGGAGACAGCAGCAGGTGCTCCGAGCACTGGCCATGCAACCAGCTGTTCAAGGGGCACTTGGACTCTCTCTGTGTGCTCCAGGCATGACGCTCAGCAATCACACAGGACTGAAATCTTGGCTCCCACTGTTTGCATACATTGCATTGAACTATACAGGCAGTGTCTAAGCAAAAAGAGCTTTTGGGGAAATTACAGACACATAACTTCTAACTTCAAGGAGTATTATCTCAATATTTTGATAT